ACTTGCGTTTTACTAAAGATTGAACTCACGTTGACATCCATTAATTCTTCTTTCGACTTGTTGAGATTAAACTAAAATTGTCAGCTATCCTTAGCAGCAAAAATAACGACGTCGTTGGAGTACGCAAGTAATGTGAGACTTATTTCGCTCAGTGTTTAACTTCCTAATTTTTTCTTGGCTTACTTAATGTCAGAATTAAGTACTAACATAAACAGTAGAAGGTAAAGAGCTGATACTGCAGTCCTACATAATCCCCATGGTAGTTTCAAATTACCGTGAAATGTTATTAGCAAATATAATAACTCTGGTTTTCTTATAGACCCATTCCATTGCCAAGAGTAGGAGTAAAGTAATTACTTCTGTGTCTTTATAATTTTTTTCAAATACCTGTTGCATTACCAATATAATATCTTGAGTCAACAATTTTGTTGTTATTTGTTAATGTTATTTCCTTCTAAACACATTACGCGGGGGAAAAATTGTTTACAATGAATACATTCTAGTGAAAGAGAAAATTTTGATGATCTTATGATTTTAATCACATGTTGACATCAAAACCCTTGATCAAGCAGATGCGTCAGTATGACAGCTTCTAGTAATGTTCCGTTATTAAACACAAAATTCTGTAATTTAATTTAAGAGTGTTCTCGACCAATCTCCGCTGGCTTTAGTACCAGTGACGCGGTTGGGAGAGTAGCGCAGGGTTCTCCTGGAGTTCCCTCGCCTGATTGTATATAGGTATGCATGTGTTTTTTTTTTCTTAGTTTTAATTTTCTTATTTTTTAGGTTATTTTATTTTATTGTCTATTGTATATACTTTTGATTATTATTTTGTTCTATTTATTTTATTTTTTGTACATATGGTGTGAATGTCATCCTACCTCACTATAACCAATGTCCAACAGACAGATTGTTATAATACTCAATAAAGAAATTTAAAAAAAAAAATTAAGTATTTTATTAATTATTCAACATATATATTTTTATTCTTCTTCTTATTCAATGATCTCTTCTTTCTTGCAGTGTAGAAATGTTTGCACAGGAAGTTCCATCAGTCTCTGTCGAAGGCTGCTCTCCCGGTTTCCTGGCATTCAATTCATATTCCTAGAAGAATATTTTTTAGATTATTCTCCCAAGTAATTCTTGGTCTTCCTATAGGTCGTTTTCCTCCTGATTTAGCCTCTATGTTTTTCTTCGCTGAGCGGCAGTCATCCACACCTCATTCCATGACCGAACCACCGTTGCTTCCCTTTGTTTATTATCTATTTGTTCAATTTTGAGTAAAGTCCGTATCGTTGTGTTACATATTCGGTCTCTCTTATTCTTTCTCTCTATTTTCTTCAGATATCCCATTTCTATGCTGGAGTTACTGCGATCACGTTGCTTTAGGCCCCATGATTCGCTTCCATAAGTGAATATAGGGTGGAATGTCGAGCGGTAGATGGCTAATTTTGTTTCTTTTGCCGCTTCTCTCTTACTTATATATCTTTTCCTTTCTATAGTTTAATCTCGGAGTATGAATTATTGTTTTTTCATCCGAAAGAATTATTTCGACAATGTAAAATCAATGGAATTTAACCAAATATTTTCGATATCACTATTTTAATGATTGATTAATTCGAGGTTGAATACCACTATGAGGATCTGGCTTATTATTATTTTTTTTTTTAAATGAACCCTGTAACTAATTCAATGTTAGAATAAATGTAACTTGTTACAAAGCCATACTTCGGTTATAAATAACAATTATTAGGAGTAGCTGATTTTCCGTTCAATAAATGAACATAACCAGTTACTCAGCAATTAATGAAATTGGGCACGTGTTCCATCAAGAAATCATTTCATGAAAAGACCTTCAAGATCGTCGAGCACACTGAAAAGAGTTGCAGAGAGTCGAGTGTGAAAAAGCGAAATAAATAAATAAATGGAGACCTTCACGTTTTATTAAAAAGTGATTCAGTACACGCCATGTACATTTCATTATAAATTGATTCACATCACATTCATATATGCTTTTTATATCACTATATAACGTTGTAAATTCACTCAAATAAATTAGGAAATATTTGAATTTTGATTTTAAAGAGAAATTTTAATATTTAGCTGTAGTAAAAAAGTCTCGATATAGTCCACCCAGTCTATTCTTAGTTTAAAAAAAAACGTTACATACCTCAAAATTTAATCATAATTTAATCCGTTCATATGATATGTTATAGAATGCCATTTGGATAAAAACGGTTTTAATAGCATTTTAAATTTTATATGCGGACTGATAATTATAAACTTCTAAGTTTAGATTACAATTCTTAGTATGATCGAAAATATAAGTTTATTTCGTGTGCTGTATTTGCTTATGTTATATACGCTCAGTATATAAGAGTTTGTTAATGTTTTCATGTTTAAGTTCGAAAACGTTTGGAAAATTCGACATTTAAAATGGCCTTTTCATCAAATAAAAATTTAAAATATTGTGCTAGCTAACTCGTCTCGTAGGGTTCGTCCAGATTTCAAACAATTTAAAAGATTTCCGCAAAATGGAATGAAAAAACAACTGTAATTATAGATTTAATTTAATCAGAAACTCTTCAATCACACGTCACAAAACTTGAAGAATGGTGTAAAAACTGGAGGATTAAAAGAAATTCCAATACAACCCATCAATTCACCATTACCCTTCGTCGTAAATCTATGTCCTTCGGTCCTACAGTATCCGTTAATACCCCACTTATCTCTGATCTCTGTTGAACAAATCCGATACCTTGGACTCCACTTAAACAAACGGCTAACTTGGAATCCTCATACCAGACTGAAACGATAAGAAATCGCTCAACGTTTCCGACTACTCCAGCACATACTAGACAAATGCTCTAAGCTTCCAGTTAATTACAAAAGACTCAAATACATGACTACAATATGACCTATTTGGACTTACGGATCTGAGCTCTGGGGCTTCACTAAGCCACCAAATTCCTCCCGTATCCAATCCTTACAATCCAATATCCTTCATGTTCTTTCTGCTCCCTACTTTGTCATAAATAAAATCATCCATAACGACTTTAATGTTACTTATGTTTTTGTCCTGGCCCAAACCAGATGCTTATCCTTCCATAACAAACTTCAGAACATCCAAACCCTCTCGTTCCTAAGCCTGCTTCCTCTTCGATCCCTGATATTTTTCCGAGGCGTCTGAAAATTAGATGGCCTCGAGATCTCCTATTTTAATATACATTGTTAGAGTTCCACCAGTGGATAGTTTATCAAGAAATGGTTTCATGTTAATATATTCTTGTGCTCACATTTACAGAATGTGTTTATATTTTTAATACAGTTGTAAATATCATAAATAAAATTTTAAAAAATAATCAGTTGTAAAATACAATAAAAAGTAAAAGTTAATTGGTCATTTATTTAGCTTTATTCTTGTAATAATGATGAGTACTTTTTACTGGCGTTCATGGTACTGCTGTTGGCTGGGGACTAGTTTATAGATCTTTAAATGGGAGTGTCAAGATTTATTTCTCGGGTTTCCCTTAAAATAAATATTAACCAACCCAAGCTGGAATCGAACCCATAACGTTCAAAATCAGACATTATGTGACTCAACCACAACTTGCTCGATCATCACGTACTCTCTTGTACTATGCCTTACGCATAAAAAATAACATTTATCTGAATAAAAACGATCTTAGAGTAGAAACTGTGACTTGACAGACGTCTCCAGGGCCTGTATTGCTCTATAGTGTTTGACATGGGACAGAAAATGAATCCGGCGTATGATTTGTTATGGCCATTATCAAGAATACCGTAAGATTGAAAATCATATACCATTACCAGCTCCAACCAATTTGGGCTTTGTTGGGAAGCGTTTGATGGAGTTTTTTTGTATAGATGGATATCTATACAGAAAATACTCAAGTTAATAATCTTTATGCTTTAGTTAACAAAGTGTGAGTAGGAATAGATGATTCTTATAACCTAAATTAAGACACAACTTTAGAGGAATCTGAGCTCACAATTACAGCCTTGTTATCATTAAGAAGGAAAGCAACAAATAAAATAAATTTATTCGAGTAAAAGTAAAACTTTTGGGATAAAAAAATTTCGCTTTTATTTAATAATTTTTTTTTTTAATTGGTTGAGTTATTGGAGGGTGAGTGTGAAGAGCGAGAGGGATTTTTATTTGGAAGTGCAATATTGGCTTCAGATATTTTTGGCACACTCTTGGCACTTAGTAAATATATATATTTATGCATCACTACGATGAAAGATGTAAAATTACTAGACTGGATTAAGTAGGAAATGTTAGAAGTGATCATATGCGGCATATATTAAGGAAGGTTTCATTCCGAAAAGAAAATTATTTTTCTGATCTACTAATAAAATTAAATTATTTAACTTTTATAAGGAATTAAATTTATATTTTAAGCAAATTTCTTCACAGTTATCTTAAATCGTATCATTAATAAAAGTGGTCTATCACATCAGGATTGCGAAACATTCAACAACATTGTGAATTCTAATTTCGCCGGCGTTCGGTGAAGGGAGATGCCTTGAAGTTATTGGCATTGACATTGAAATTCATCGTCTTCCAACCCTTATAATTATTGATTTGATATTTATTATAAACAAATTACACATAAAAATTAAAAGTTTATAACGATTACACTCATTATAATGACGGGGTAAAAAACATGGATAGCCAAATATTGTTTCAAGAAATTAATATGGATTATATTTTATGATTTTATTTATCATGCATAGATATATATCTTATATTATGTATAGATTTTTATTATATCTTACGAAAACGGAAACAATTATCCTGTATATAGTGATTTGTTAAATGATGTTTACATAGGCTATCTAAAATTTATAGAGTGTTTAAATTAAACAAATTCAGCAAATTCAGAATATGGTGACTTCCCTAATAAAGATGGACGAGCAAATCGATTTCTCGGTGGTTCCAACTCTACTACTTTATACGAAAGCTCTGTACTTACGACATGGGGTAGGGTGATGATGATAAAGAAGATCCACATGTTGCTAGCCGTGGCACCACATTCCGGCAGACTACGGCTTGAACCGCCAGGTACTCCCCTCCAGAAGATCTCCAGGGTGGGGGTACGTCCAGGGGGAGCCTTCCCGACGAAGAGGAGTTCCGGTCGTTGACTGCCCAGTGTAAACAGTTGCGTGTCACAATCCGTTTTCTGTGTTTACCCTAGTCATTGGTATCTGGGCTTTTAGCTTGTCCTTCGTATCAGTAACAGCCGTGGAAGAGGGACTTGTGGTTCCGGACTTCCTTAACTCCTCACTGGCGATAGTCGTGGAACACTTTCTGCTTTTCCTCAACACATCGGGGGCCAGCCAAGTCCAAACACGGCGTCGATTCATTGAAGAAGGGGTTCAATCAGTCATAAAAATCTTATGGAACGAAATTTATTCACAGGCATCTTTCTTTCCGCTATTACTAAAAAACAGTAAAGTCTTCTTCGATTTAGGTAAACTACATTGCTGATAACTTTATTGTCAGAGTAACTGTAATCAGTTTCTGCTGTCAAAATTGTTGAAATCTACGCTCCTATTAACATCTTTAAAATGAAACTTACAACTCTTTCATCTCCACTAATATATATATATTGGAATTACTATAAATATCATCATAATATCATTTTATTTATTTTATTTAAATAAATTTGCGTTTACACAAAGGTGTAATAGAATAGAAGCATAGGAGAATCAACTTTATTCTGTGACAAAGTCCCTTAAGAATAGCAATTTTGTACATAAAAATTAACATACAATGTGGCCAAAATACATATAACAGTAAAAAAAAAAAACTAAAAACTAAGTAATAACAGAAGTATTTACATAACTATACTGATATATTAAAGAAATAATATGAGCAATATGGTCACAATACTGCAAAATAGTTGCTACAAACAATAAACTATGGAATACTCAATAAAATTTGAAATGAACGATAAATTACTTGTGTTGTCATACCATTGAATTAATGAAAAAAAAAATAATAAAAGAGCAGATAAATATTTACTATAAATGATTTACATCTGTACCTTAATGTGCTCAAATGAATACAATAATAGTATTGTAAACATTATAAAAGTGTCATATAATCTATATCCTAAGCTGTAGATTGATCGGAGAAAATAAAAGATGATACACATATAGAGGAGTGCATTCAATATAAGTAATCAATTAAATACTGCTCAAAGACTAAGAATCTTATACATTGAAAAACTGACCAAAAAAACAATTCTTAGGGAACGTAACTGGACATCTTTTCCATACTCAAAAAAGAATAGTTTAAATATATATATATATATATATATATATATATATATATATATATATATATTTAAAGTTTAGCTGTAACCGATATTTTCATTTCGGCCTTATTTTAATTTATTAAGTAAAGTTTGACATAGAAAATTCTGCTTATTGCTTTTATTAGCAATAACCAGAATTAACTCATTTAATTATGTCAATCAATGATCTAGAGATCGTCCTGTTTAGAGACTTGAGCTGACACCGATATTACTGAAGCCGATATTTTGACCTTTCGGTTTTATTTTATGTTGGTTAATAAAATTTCGCTTAGAAAACTCTGCTTATTACTAATAAATATGCCAACCAATCACGAAGGAATCGTGCTGTTTAAAAACTTCAGCTGATACATATATTAATGAGATTGATATCTCGTTCTTTTGGCTTTATTTTGTATCTGTGAGTAAATTTTTACCATGGGAAATTCGACTTATTGTTAATAAGTTTACCGATCAATCGTCTAGGGATCGACCTGTACAGAAACTTCAGTCGATACCAATATTACTAAGTCCGATACATCGACTATTCGGCCTTATTTTATCCGAGTAAGTGAAGTGTCACAAGGAAAATTCAGCTTATTGCTTATGAATTGACCACCAGTCGTCTGGGGATCGATCTGTATAGAAACTTCAGCTCATATCATCAATGTGATTTCTCCAGAATTCGACATTTAAAAAAAAATTGTACTTTATTTTGTTTATTATTACTAAATAATTTCATATGGGTTTTTATTTGAGAAAAAAAAAAAGAAAATCGTGCTTTAACTCACTGTAACTCGGTCTGGTATTTTGTTGATAAAATACATTACAATGAAAGTGTTAATTTGAAATAAATTTATATAGATATCTTACTAATAATTACATTATAATAAAATATTACAGTATAAAATATTTTGTGATACCCAAAGAATCGAGGAAACGTTTGTTAAAGTTGTATTATGTATCGAATGGTAATGAAGTTTCAGATGAGATCCCAACATTTATAATCAATTAAAAAAATAAACTAAAAAACGCTACAAATTATTACACAATGGCTTAATATTTCCAAACAATTATATATCAAAATTTAGAACACCATATATTTTCACCGAAGCGAACCGATTTCAAAGATTTTGTTTTTGTTTTTTAGGAAATTTCGGAAATTATTAAAAAACCGTAATTAGCAAAACACTGTATATTTTTTGAGTTGTTCGAAAATCTAATTTTTCCTCTCCTCGTAATTTTTTTGAGTTGTTCGGAAATCGTTGAAACATGTTATATTGATAACTTTAAAGGGTCTTAAAGAATAAGATATAGCCAAGTTTCATTCAAATCGGTACATTCGTTTAGGCGCTACAGTTTACATAATACAGGACTTTCGGCCTCCATCTTAAAAAACAATTACTTTTCGGTGAAGTATGTTCTATACATTTACTTAAAGGACATCGAGGAGAACACTTTTTAGTAAAGTTGCATTGAAGTTAAGTTCGTTCAGGCACTACAGTCAATACCAACATAGATTTTTCGGCTGTTATCTTCAAAGGAAAGGACGGATAGTAATATCGAGAATTAGGAAGATCATCGTCGGGTGACTTCTGACTTTGATCCCATGTCTTGGATAAACACCGAGATTATAATGGTCCATTATTACAAATAGCGAAACAAAATTAGTTCTAGATAAGTACACTACAGCCAAGATATATATATATATATATATTTTTTTTTTTTTTTTTTTTCTCTTCAAATAATTTAGCACATTAAAATCTTAACACTTCATAACACAAGAATTGCATATCATTTCAACGAATGCAACTCCATTCCAAATTATAAAATGTAATAATTTCTCACGAAAAACTCACATTCTAAGAGATAAAAAATATAAAATGATTTTATAAATAATTGTATTAGAATAAGTTAAGGTCGTAGTCGAATTCGTTTCAGTCTGTTTTATTTTAAAACCTAGCGTTGCTACAACTTAATAAAAAGTTTCTACATAAGTATTACATTTAGTCTTTGTAGTAGAATATTCGAGAGGAGGATTGAACATAAGAAACATATTAAAGGAACGATCTCCAACGCTTTCTTATTCTTCGTTAAGAAGAAAAAATCATTAAATGACATTGCAATCGTTTGTTAAATGACATCAATGCCCATTTGTTGGTTTCGATGGAAACCATAGCATTTAAAAAAAGAAATGCTGCATGGAAAAGCTATTTTAAAAATACCCCAACATGCCTTTTATATTTAGAAGAAATAAAAAAGCCGATTAGCCTGTGAAAATTTATTGAAATAGATTTCTACTTACGGCAATCAAGTCATGCTTTCTAATGACACATGACGTGCGACCATCATTTGGTCTGAGTGATTTCAATCGCTTATTTTTCCAGGTTAGAAATAGCCATTCAATTGAAAAGAAAAAAAATCAATTTTTCTAAAGAAATTTCTTTTTGTTAGTGCCAATCCTACAACGACATGCAGGCAATGATATCAGGGAAAAAAAAACATAATAACGCGTCCTTTTCATAAACTGATCCTTCAGTCGAGACCTTTTCCTTATTAGCCTGAATGGGTTTTTGTGATAATAGTTTGAAATTATTCAAAAGAAAAAAAAAGTAAAAAAAAAAATGGATTGTGACGGATAGCGAGGTGTTACAAAATTGCCAGTTTATATTTTACAAATATAGGAGAAAGTTTCTTATAGGTTAATATTTTCTGATAGAGTGATTAAACCATCATTTTAGCTTTATGTTATAAAAATATATAACATGTTATAATGTTATGTGTTAATTTTGAATAATTGATTTTCATAGGTTTCAGTTTTATCATTTTTTTTCTCTTTAAGTATGAATCAGCACCTGTCATGTTATGGAAAATCAGCAGATATGTTGTGATAAAATAAGGATTAACATTATAGGCATGAGGAAGTACCCAGCAGAACCTCTTTCATTATTTCCTTCGTGATTTAGGTGAGATCTCTCATTCAGCTCCTTTTTAATATCCTCCTGATGGGTATGTCAGTCGTAGCCATGTCGTTTAGAAGCCTCTTTGTGTGTCCGTGTAGTTTGAGATGGAAACGAGAGTAGAAAGTATGTGTTGGTCTTAATTGGTTGTCGTAAGTCGTTATGTAAAGTTTTGTTATTTATTTACCTAGAAGCTCATGTTATAAATCGTAACATTTTGGATTGAAACGACTGTAGTTTTTGTAAGTGCGTCTTTTTTTGTCGAACCATAAATATGAGAGGAATATGTTCAAATGGGTGTATGAAATATGTGCAGAGGGTTAAATAGATACGTGTATGTATTTAGTTTTTGTCGAAATTTCAATTTCGATTTAGAAAAAAAGAGGACAGTATTTTCTGTCGTTTTTTTAAGGTCTGTCGTTTCGTTTTGATGTGTGGGCCCCATTATTATCATTTAATTAAAAATTCAGAGTTTTGATACGGTTAATTCAGGAATATCTTTTTTTTTTTCTTCATATGTGCATTTATCACTAAGGACCATGCCACTTCTTCCTTATAAATTATCTAATTTTTTTATTTAAAATTGTTTTCAAACCTTTTTTATTGAATAATACAACATTCTGCCTCAATTAACGACAATGATAATAATCATGAATGAGAACATTCAAGACCATGTTTACTAGAACTACATAGAAATTGGAACAAAATAAAGTAGAAAAAAAAAGAACTGAAAAAGTAAAATAAATATCTTAATTACAGGTCTTATTGTATAGACTATTTACAATAAATTAGAGGAACTCCAAAACAGACTTTTTCTCTCACGTTTGGCGGATTATTAAGGTATTAAAAGCCAGTGGAGGTTGC